GACTGCATACATCACTGTAATACCATGCCACTCTTTACAAACAGAGGCAACACACAATTACTCTCTCTCACACATATTACCTCTTTATTTATCCTTATTACTACTATTTTATTTTTCCCTCAGAATGCCAATTCACCTCCTCTTCTTCTCCCACTGCATTATCAGCAAAAAAAAAAATAAAAACACCCACCCAAACGGACACGTCCTTTACTCCATGGTGTGTATTAGGAGGGTAATATCAAACATATCCCCTTCCACCACACACCCAAAAAGGACCCCACACCACCCCCACGCTTATTCTTTCTGTTCTTCGTCTCTTTATGGATATTATTCCAATGGTACGGCTATCAGCCGTACACCGTAAAGCACCTAATTACTGACTTATGGGTGGCTCCGAAGAAGAAGATCCCTTGTTTTATAGGATCCTCAAGATCTTGTAATATGATTTTTTGTTGTAGCCCGTTCTCATTCGAGAGAACCAGTCTACGAGAAATCTGATCGAGTAAACTCCACCAGATCTCTCTACTCTCACTGTTCTTACCCTGAACCCGTCCTCAAGTCTCCTTTTGTTATTATATTTTGTTATTTTGGGTTTTTTATAATAGATTGACCTCAATGAACTCCTATTTATTTTATTGCTTCTTTGGTCGGCGGCAGACGCCTTGAGCTTACTCTTCTATCAGGGTTTCCATATTCGAGCTCGTCGCTGATTTTAGAGAGGTGGGAAGGTAAGCTACGTAAAGATTTATTGGTTGTGAAAACTCTGGCATAATGTAGTTCCGCTCCACCGCAATAAGGAACTGTGCTAACCGCTTAGAAAAACATAGTTTCTTCAGGGGTACATCATCAACTATCGCAAATTGAACTCGCATTGGCTGAATAGCAGGGCAACTCAAGAGATGCAGAGCTGTTTCTTCGCATTCGTCGCGTTGGCTGGTGTGCGCGCGAATAGGTTGATACCCGTGTCGTGACATTCGATGTAGAGTTAGGCCTGACTTACTCATACACACTGACGACTGCATGAGGGACAGACTAATGCCGAAAGGTCTCTTGTTTTCGTTGTTTTGTATCGTGCATTGGTGGAATTCGTTTTTTGTTGGCATTCCTTCTCCTTCATGGAATTTTCTGCAGTGGATTGCGAGGGAGGCTAGGTGGGCGTAGAACTTCTGGCATACTCCGCATTGGACTTTTTCACGGCTCTCTCACGCTCTGGTGGCGACGTATCTCGTTGGCGTTTTTGATTGCGTGGAAACGTTACCTGTATTGTTGCTGGCAGAATTGGAGTTCCAGGTGGATGTTTAAACTTTTTGTGGCAGGCGAGAGCTCCAATGTTGCCGAAGTCGCGGAGGCAGAATTCGCATCATAGTGAAGCAGGTTGGGGAATGAGTTGGGTGCGGGGTGCGTCTTTTTTGGGGTTCTCAGGATGTTTCGCTCTAATATGGGATTTAAGGCCTGTTTTAGATCGCGCTATCATATCACATTTGTCATAGGGAAATGCTGATTCTTCTGGTGGTATCGGTGGTTCGTCGGCTCGCAGGCGTTTTCTCTCTGGGACATGGCATGTGACATTGTGCATGTATCTAAGGTGGCGCGTTAATCCATTTTGAAGCGGAAATGTTCGTTTACATGTACTGCAGGCAAACAGGAGTGTTTTGCTATAGGCGAATTGGTCTGGGGTAACGTTGTAGCCGGAGGTGGGGGTTGTGAGGTTGTCGCAGGTTCTGGCGGGATGTCCGGCGGAGGTGGCTCATGGGGGAATTTGATCTTCCAGAGCGCGTCAGCTCTCTTGAACCCATGTGTTTGTTGACCATATGTACTACTGCGGTGTTCCTGCATGAGTATTGTGTCCCACATTCAGTGCAGGTGGCAGGGTCTGTTGCTTTGTTTAGTGCATAGTGCGGTCTTTTTTGGCTAGGTGGAACGGTGGGTGTCGGCGTGCTGACTTTTTGGGGATTACACCATCGACAACCAGGAGGAATATGGGTTTGTATCTTACGCAGCAACCAGCCATAGCGATGCGAAGCACCTGTGCGAAAACGTGCTAGGGCTGTTTCTTCTTCTCCAGTGAGTTCCGGGTTGTCTTTGGTGGTGTCCCAGGATCCAGTGATTTTTGATCTATGGGAGGGAGGGGGCGTGTCCTCTCCCTTAAGTATTCGTTTAGCGTGGGCTATTATATCTGTGATCCAAGTATCAGTTCTTTGTGGTAGTTCTGTAGCTTCTTTTTTGGCTTCTGTGTCGCATTTTTCATTTTTCACTACACCGCAGTGGCCAAAGATAAATTGTAGTCGTATGCGGGCCTTGCGACGTTGCACTTGAAGGATCAGGTTCCACAGGAGGCGTAGTAATGGGTCTTTTACGGTCAGTGGGCCTGTTTCCGGTGCCGTGAGAAGAGAGAGTGAGTCCGTGAAAATGGAGACCCTGCATGGCGTTGGATTATTTGCGGGAATTATTTTGAGGAGTCTCCGTAAACCTTCGTATAGC